TCAGCTCAAAAATTGTCCGATTAAACTAAATAAACTAACCAAGTTCGCCAAGTCTTGCTTCGCTAAATAAGACTGCTGGCTTTTGTTTTCTGACATTTTGAGAATTTACCCGACTCAACTGAAAAAAGGGTGACAAAAACAATTTTGTTTAGTAAAACACGCAACTGTTGCAATACCATAGATAATTAAATGTTAAATGCAAAAAAAAATGAAAGCCAATTTTAATTATGGATGATCATAATTCATAATAATTGATTGATTGAATGATGGTTTACGTCGATTCAGCACGGTTATCGGCTATTTAACACCTTTCCTAACATTTTTCTTTATTTCGACGAAACTAGTCATCGCCGTTAGGCAAGGTTGTGTATTCTCTCTAGATCTACAATCTCTATAGTGAGATCATCATGAGAAAGAGATCTCTACCTGGAATATTCGTTGGAGGCGTGAATATTAACAATGTAAGATGCTGATAGTACAACTTTTATAGTAGATTTGATGGAAAAACTGCAAACAATTGCTTCCAAACTGGTTTTTGAAAGTGAAAGGAAAGGCTTGCAAATTAACATCAACAAAACAGAGTGTATGGTTAGGGTTAGGGTTAGGTGCTCCATAATCTGCTCCATAATCATTAATGGTAAACAGGTGAAACAAGCCAACAGCTTCAATTATCACGAAAGTCTGATTACCTCAGGTTGTAAATGTGATATGGATTTCAAAAGAATGATAGCTATAGCGAAAGATGCATATTCTGAAATGAAAAACATCCTCACCAACAGTAAAATCACTAATCAGAATATCAACAAAATTTATTCTGTTAGGGTGTTACTTTTTCCCTGTAATAACTTACGGCTCTGAATCCTAGACAATTTATAAAAAAATATGGAAAAAAAGATTAACGTTGCTGAGATGTTATTTTTGAGAAGAATTATGAAAATTAGTTGGACTTCCATACTTCGAATGAAGAAATCCGACGGAGGCAGTAATTTTTTTGGTCACATCATGCGGAAGGAAAGAATGGAAAATTTAACAACTATCGGAAAAATTGCTGGAAAAAGAGGTCCCGGTCAACAACGAATAACATTTGTAGAGTCCTTGTGTCAATTGTTGAATATCACCACATTTCAACTATTACAAATTGTTAAAGATCGGGTTTTGTGGAATTCGAGAGTCGCCAATGTCCTGAATAGATAACGCACAAGAAAGAAGAAGATCGGCTATCTTCTCGCCACTGGAATTTAATGTCTTTCGCTTCTCATATGTTTGTTAATATTTTTGTTGTCGGTGTTTTTGGTTGTTGTTTTATCATTGTGGATTTTGTTGATATAGATGTTCATATATTTTGTTGATATAAATTTTCATCTTTGTAGTTTGAATTCTAGATTTAATTGAAGATTCCTATTTCTGTAATAAATGGAAGTATTATATTGGTGATATTTTGGTCTTGGAACAAATTTTGAATGTCTTTTTTTTGATAAAATTTGATAATTTCTTCTAAGTTGGTCATATTTTGTGCTTTCCGTTAGATATCGCAATCGTCACCGTTTGGAGATGGCTTTTTGTTGGGAATCCAAGAGTGTGTTGAATTTGTATGTACTATTCTGTCTATTTTAGTTTGGAAAAATTTGTTCATCAATAAATTTTTGTTTACCTTTTTGTAATTTTGTTGTGATTAGATGAATGAAGTTGTTGTACTCATTCCAATGTAACTGCCCTTTTTGGTAATGTAGTGTTTTAAAGATTGTTTAATATCGTTTATGGTAGCGGTATGTTGGAAATAGAGAATGAGTGAACCAATTTAGCTGCTGCGTCTGCTCGCTTCTTCAATGCCTACATGCTATGCCATTATTAAATTTTTACTTTCAATTAGGTTGTTGTGTATTTTTGTTTAAATTTGGATTATCAAAGAGTATTCTTGTTTATATTGTTGTATTGTTCTAGACTTGATAATAAATCAGAAAATATTAAAAATTTATTATCTTTACTTTTTTTTATGTAGTTTAACCTGTATGTATCTGGCTATCAATTCTGCTGTGAAAATAGAAGTTGGTTCAGGAAGATGTTGCATGGGTGTAATTTTATGATTGATGATTTCTGTGATTGGTGTAATTTTATTGTTGATGATTGCTGCTGTTGTCGTTGAATTGTTGATTTTTGATCCATCGGTATATAGTTTGAATATTTTTAAATTATTTTTTTTTTAACATAACTTTAGTAGATCTAAAAGAGTAGGTACAGTGATGCCATATACGTGACATCATACAAAGTATGTTTAACTATACCTACTCTTATTAACGGAGAAAAGATATCGCGAGAATGGCTTGTTTATTCAGAAAGCACTGTAACAGTATTGTATGGAATTTGTAATTGGTTTTTAAACAAATCGAATGTTCAAACGAAATTAACACCAAAAAGCTTCAATGAGCGGGAAAATGCTTATAATGCGCTGAAAGAGTATGAAAATTCATTGTCTCGCCGAGAGTGAGTACACTACTGCAAAATGAGAGGTCGCCTCGTGCTATAAGTCAAATAAACTCGCACTTAAAAGATCAATTTGAAACTGAAATAAATTACTGGAAATCGAAGTTTTAAAAACACTGATTTAAAAAAAACTACCTTTGCGTAGACACGTTGAAAAATTAAAAAATTCTGAAATCAATCAATCAATCAATTAGCTTATAAAGCGCTATTTCCGCGATGTTCAACAGCGCTCCTCAATGAATTTTGAAAACAGATGGGTCTTGAAATCCGCTCTGAACTTCGCAAGTGATGGAGAAGTAGTCAGAGAAGTAGGTAGAAAGTTCCAGAGAAAAGGATCAGAAAAAGCAAAAGCAGATTTGGCAAAAGAGTGTTTGTGTATTTTAAGTAAAGAAGTTTCAGTACTGTGAGCAGGTCTGAAACCAGATTGAGATGCAGGTAGCAAGGAGTTAAAGTCTAAATAGAATGACAGTTGTGGGAATTACATTACTTACAGCTAAATTTGATTCTTTTATGGCGAATCATTTGGTGAATGTGGCAAAAGTAATACATCCTATCTGTCATCAACCGCTGTAGAGGGTTAGTAACAATATTGGCAAATGCCGTACAAGACGCACTCGTCAACTAAATAAAATGTATCAAATATTTTTTATTAATTGTTGATTAAACGCCTGACAGTACAAGTTTATCAACTATCTGTGATAATCAGATACGTTCAAAAAAGCGAAACGTCTTACAAAGCGTTTTCAGCATTTCTACCAAACGTAGGCCAGAAATCACAAGACTTATTTAATGCAGTATCTTGCTTTTTTTTACAATCAAATAACCTGGATCTTCAAAACTGTCGCGGAAAATTTTACGACAACGCTTCAAATATAACAAAAAAGTATTCAGGACTTCAGGCGCACATCAAGGAATTCAAACATCAAGTTTCATTTATACCATGCTCGTGTCACTTACTTAACCTTGTTGGCACAAATGCAGCTGAATTCTTTTCTGTGCATTTTTTTTGGTTGATCTAAAATGTTTATAACTTTTTCAGTGCTTCTACTGCCAAGTGGGAAATTCTCCAAAACAAGACACAGCAAAGATCCAACTCATTTAATTTAAAGTTCTCTCCACTACCTGATGGTCTGCTCGTTATAACGCAGTTAGTGCGTTGAAATATATATAGCATGTATTCATATATGATGTTTGTGGCGTGTTGTTGATTCCTCCAAACCTAGGAAGAGTGTAGTAGACCTTTAACAAACCTTTAACGTTTTTTTTAGAATTTAGCTCTCGGGAAAACATTTGCGTAAACATATTTTTAGTGATTGTAGATAATTATAAGAGGTTTATTCATGAAGAAAAAAAAAACATGAATAGGATACCCTAAAAAAGCATATCTTCTGTTCTAATGGGTACCCCGCAGCGATCAAACTAACAGAAACTAAAAAACAAACTAACTAGCATCGTAACAGAAAAAGAAAATTTCTCATAGGTTCAACAAAATTATAATAAAACAAACAAAAATCGTAACAAAATTATATGAATACCAATAACGACAAACAATTTAAATAAGTTTTTAGTTTGAACTTAAAATCCCCCAAAGTTAAACACTCTCGAACATAAAGAGGAAGCTGATTCCAATTTGTGCATCCGTAGTAACATATATTTCTCTTTTGCAGTTTGTTCTGACACCTCACTTGATGAAGCTTTGTGTCGATTGGCGATCTTTTATCTACCCTCTTGTCGGCCCATCTTAGAGAGGATTTCAGGTGGACATCTTCAGTGCGGTCAATGTTATGCAACAGTTTGAAAAATAAACAACAAGATTTCAAATAATTGACTTCATAAACTGTTAATATCTTTAATTTATTAAAAATGTCATTATTATTATTATTGCTTTTATAATTAATAAACTTTAAAAATCTTTGTTGGGCTGTAAAAATATTTTGTAAGTAAGTTTTGAAAGTATTGCTCCAAATTAAATTTCCGTAAAAAATGTGAGGATAAATAAAGGCGTTATATAAAAGTAGTACAATCTTATATGGTAATAGATGTTTAATTAAAATAATTAGTCCAATTATTTTATGAAGCTTGGTCAAAATATAGTCCACATGTTGTTTAAACTTTATGTCCACATGTTGTTTAGCTTAGAGTCGATAATCACACCAAGTAATTTGAAACTCAAAACTTTTTCCAAGTTCAAATCATTTATAGCTAGCTTAAATTCGTTATTCTAATTAGTTTGTTCAAAGATCATATATATATACTTTTTTAATATTTATGGCAATTTTATTGAGTTCGGACCAATATGCTATTTGTTGGAGACTATGGTTGGTCTTGCTTTCTAGTTCGTGCACCGAGTTTGCTGTGGTGTAGAACGTGGTGTCATCAGCGAAAATAACAAATTTTGATGCATCAGTGACATGAGTTATGTCTTTAATAAATAGCAGAAATAATTTGGGTCCAAGGATACTTCCTTGTGGCACCCCACTTAGTACAGTTTGAGTCATTGATTTAGATTCACCTATACCAACGTACTGAAGACGATTCTTCAAGACTAGCAAACCAATCCAATGCAATACCTCTAATGCCGTAGTGTTCAAGTTTCTTAATCAATATCTTATGTGAGACAGAATCAAAGGCCTTAGCGAAGTCTAGAAAGACTGCTGAAGCAATGCGCCCATCATTTATATTAAAAACAAGATCATTTACCATCAACAGCAAGGCATGCTCCGTGGAACATTTTTTACAAAAGCCAAACTGCTCTGGTATCAAAATATTATTTTTGGATAAAAAAGATTCAAGACGAGTGTTAACTATTTTTTCTAATATTTTAGAGAAACAGCTAAGTATGCTGATCGGTCGAAAAATTTTTTTTGTCGTGAGTTGGACCATTTTTGTGAGTAGGTATTACCCTTGCAATTTTAAAACAATCGGGAAAGGTCCCTGAAGCGATGGAAAAACTAAAAAGGTAGGACAGTATGGTGCTAATGGAATGAATTAAGCTTTTCAAGATTTTTTTAGAAATTCCATGATGGTCAAGACTGGGTGAGTTATTTAAAGAATTAACTATATCAGTTATTTTTTTAGAATTTGTTTCTTTGAGAAACATTAAGGAATAATTCGATTTGTTAAGAAATTTTTTAAAGCCAATGTCTATTTTTAATTGATTGTTAAATAAGTCTACAAAGTAGTGATTAAAAATATTAGCTATCTCTTCTTGACCAGTAATTTTACTATTATTTTCAACAAGCAGGTAATAATTTTTTCTCTTTTTATCATTATTTAAAAGTTTAGAAATTGTTGTCCATTTTCTTTGGAGTTTGATTTATTATTAGCAAAGACGTTATGATAGAAATTTTGTTTTGTTGATTTGATTGCATTTTAATGTTTTTAGCAGAAAAATACATGGCTTTGTTATGATCCGACGGATTTGATTTATATTTTTTAAATTCTGCTTTTTTTATGAACAATATTTTTGATATATTTTGTGATCCATGGGGATTGTTTTTTAAAATTTTTTAATTTTTTTGTTTCATAAGGGCAGCATATGCTGAAAATCTTTTGAAACAAAAACATAAATTTATTAAATGCATTATTGCAATCATTTTCTCTCAGTATTCCTGTCCAGTCGGCTAAGAGAAGCTCTTTTTCAAGCTTTTTGAGGTTTTTTGAAGATGTGTTTTGGTACAGAATGATATCTTGAAATTGCTTTTATAAACGAAAGGGAAATGAAGCAAATATGGGGTAGTGGTCAGACATGTCAGATGAAATGGTACCACTAGAAAAAGTACTTTTACTATTTGTGAAAATCAGATCTATCAAGGTTTTGTAGGCATTGCACTCTGCATTTAGGTACACTGGTACTCCTGCTACAATCTGTTCGGCAGGGCAGCCTTTTTCTTGTTTAAAGCGCGTTAAAAATTATTTGCGTTCAACATTGTCGGAAGAAAAGCTAAACTTTCTTGCAATTCTGCGCTTTTAAAAAGTTTTGCAAAGATTGTACTATAATTTCATTATTGATATTTTTGCGCACAGAAAAACACGCCGTAATGTTTTGAAAAAAACATTTTTATAGACCGTTTAATGCAAATGCGTTTTTTACTAATATTACATAAATATTATTAAAAAATGTACCCATAAAATGTATTTTTATATTTAAATTTAGTTTTCTTAAATTATTATAAATTTGGGCGGCAAATTACAAGTGCCTCTAGGCAGCAATTAGGTTAACCCGCCACTGATTTGACTGCTCAATGTTATATTAATGATTTCCAATATATGTATATTCTATCTATGACAATGACAATTTCATGAGAAAGATAATTCTATGACAATGACAATTCTATGACAATGCGGAAACGCAAACTGCAAGTTAGAAGAGATCAAAACCGAAATAAAACTGCTGCAAAGCTTGTTTCCAAAACTTCAGAACAATGGAAACAAAGTTTCCTTCAAAATTATTTACATGCTGCATGTTGTCGACATAGTAAAAAACGCTTCAAAGTGAAACACGAGAAGATCAACGATTATAATGATATTGCTCATCAATGTCAAACTAGTAAAGAGCTTGAACAACAGCGGGATGCTTGTTTGTTTGCAAATTCGGTATAGAATATTTCTTAATGAAAATAAGTTTATGATGTATTTTACAATATCTCCATACGCTATATTTTTTATTCGTTTCTCTTTTTGAAGATAAATTAAATCGTTTGAAAATGTTATGTATTCTTGAACGAGCCAGTTCAGTTGGGATAATTATTTTATTTGCTGTCATCAGTGTTAATGTTAAATCAATAAATTTACTGCCGAAAAAGCTTTTTTGTTTTTTTCCAAATAGTTTATTTTAATATTATCAGTTTAGCTTTAAATTTTTAATAAACTCCATTTTTATCTTAGTACAGCTTATCTGTTAGTTTTATGATAATAATAATAAAATGAACATTAAAAATGTTTTGTTAATTTAATAAAAAAAAATAAAATAAATAATAAATTAGTAAATACATTGGAAAAATATAAAAATTAAAATAATTTATATAATAATACATTTGCGATTGAATTTTATAAAAATTGTTTACACACTGGCCTTATTCGAAATTATAAATTATATATATATATATATTTGCTGGATATCATATATATATATATATATATATATATATATATATATATATATATATATATATATATATATATAACGCGATTTTTAAAATTTTAACGGCAAGATTGTTTATATTATGGTTGTTAAGGTAAATATCAACGCTCAGCCGAGAAGCGCGAATTAATTTATTTAATTAACTACATATTATTAATATTATTTTTACAATATTTAAAAACGTTATTATTATTATTATTGTTAACGTTATTATTATTATTATCATAGCTGTGGTTCTTCTTGCTTCTTGTGATGATGCTCCATTTGCAAGTGATATTTGTGCTGTGGGCTGTGGCGTTGGTATCTACAGTGTTGGCACTGTTGTTGTTGTTGTTGTTATTGTTGATGCTGTTGTTGTTGTTGTTGTTGTTGTTGTTGTTGGTGTTGTTGATGTTGTTGATGTTGTTGTTAGGGTTGTCACTATTGATGATGTTCTAATTGCAACTGATATTTGCGCTGTGGGTTGTGGCGTTGGTATCTACAGTGTGGGCACTGTTGTTGTTGTTATTGTTGATGTTGTTGTTGATGTTGTTGATGTGTT